CCATGGGCCTGGTGCAAGGATGCAGGGAGGCGGTGTCTTCTCCAGGCCTACCTTGGCATCCAGGATGCTGGTTTCCACACGGGCCACCCCCTGGTTCTCCCTGAACAGCTGAATCTTGCTGACTTTGCTGAACTCAGACAGCACAGTGGTGAGGTTGGTCTTCAGGTCGATGACGTGGCTGATGCCATGGCGGGGTCCCACAAGAAGGGTAGTGGCTGGCTGCTTCTCATCCTGCATAGGGGTAAACACTGCTCAGAGACAGGCAGGCAGACAAAGAGAGGGACCCCAGATGTCAGGGTAGGACCCAGCCTCTCTCCCCACTTCCTCTCTACCCCCCCACCTGCCCCTGTCCATAACAAAGGCGTGCTAGAGGTTGGCCTGGGTGCAACAGGAATCCACGAAAGGTCCCGGCCCCGGATGGAGGTGGCCTCTGTGGGCCAGGTGGGACCCCTCTTGAACACAGCTTGCGGGAGGCCCTAACTCTGGCTCAGTGTTGTTCCAATGGCATCTTTCACACAGGTTGTGTCGGGGGGGGGAAGTGGGGAGGGGGTTGCAGCCATCCCATTTGAAGGACCTATAACTGGGGTGGGGGTGGGGCAGCAAAAGCACTATGGAGCCCTGGAAGCAAGAGACGGGGTGGTTCCACCCTCCCTGCTGGCTGGAATGGCCATACCAATCCCACAGTGTTGAAGAGGACGCCAGCGAAGGTGGGCAGTTCATTCAGGATGCGCAGGTACTGGAGCTTTGTTTGGGTGGTGGAGACCTGTGGGGACACAAGCACATGGAAGCACATTGGTTTCCCCCCCCCAACCTCTGAGAATGCAGGTGGCATATGTGTGTGTGTATGTGGACACGAGCACACACCACCCACCCACCCATGCCCTGACCTTCACCAACCCAAGGGAGGTCCCGGCCCGCCTTGCCTTGGTGCCACATGGCTGGTTCTGGTGCGCCTTGAGCTGCTGGGAGAGAGACTTGCGCAGACTCTTGTCTTTGATGCCCTGGAGCAGCGAAGGGGGCAGGAAGGGCTCCAGCCCCCACTCCTTCCTGGGGAAAGGGAGGAGGGGGAGGGGGAACCACGTCACCACCAGCACCAGCAGCCATTGCCGGAGGGAGGGCAGAGGCAGAGGTGCCCAGGCGGCCCTGGGCCCTTGGCGCCAGTGAGCTTGGGGGCAAGCAGGAGAGAGGGTTCTGCCCTTCCATCTCCGGAGGTGCCTCTAGGGTCACAGAGGGAGCTACGTGGCCTAAGCCTCCCCTCCTCCCCCCACCTTGAAAAAGGGCTGAGGGGATGCTGCTTAGGGTGGGCCCTTCGTGGCCCTGGCCTATGCCCTCCCTCCCTCCCTCCCCCCCAAAAAACCCACACAGCACAGCTCCCCTGGACTGCTTCTCTGATAGCAACATCTTCCAGGGGCTGCATAGGCCTGAGCAAGGACAACCACCTTCCAGACCCACGTGAGCCCAACCCTGGCCCCCAAAGGGCTGCCCTCTTGCCTTCCCTCCCTCTTGACAAAACTCCCCGGGCAATGCACCCTATATGTCGGAAGTGCCCCCAACCCCTCCCTCACTCTCACACCAAGCCCAATCTGGGCAGGGGGTGAGGGGGCAACGGCCGCACTCACTCGACATTTTTGAGGGAGACCTTCTGGCTGGGCCGCGTGGCAGAGACTGTGATGAAAATGTGGAGGGCGGTCAGGCCGAGCAGCATCTCTGGCTTGGGCTCCATCCCAAATCGCTCCCGGATCACATCGTTGCGGCTCTGGGAGAGGATGAGGAGAGGCGACTCAGGCCAGGGTTGTCCTCTGGAAGGCCTCGGCCAAGCCCCACCCCTGCCCCCCATTTTGTGGTGGTGTGCTGTGGAGAGGCCTCTGCCCCTTTGGCCCTTTGCGGCAGAGACAGCGGCTGCCTGCTTTGCCTGCCGCCTGTCGTGGTGGAAATCCCAGCCATGCGCCACGGCCTTTGGCATCTTAACCCCAGGATGGCATTCCTCGCCTGCCCGCTCCCTCAATCCCGAGCTGGCTGGCTGGCTGAGAGAACAAGGACCGTTGACTGAAGGTCAGGCCAGCCCAGGCCCACCAGGCCGTTGCTAGACCCAGCAGCCATCCCCATGGGGACAGACCTTTGGGGCCAGGAGGTCATGAGAGGAATGGGCATCTAGCAGGGGATGCCAGCTTCACCAGGGCAGGAAGCTTGTCCTGGGTTTTAACTGGAGGGAGGGAGGCAGAAAAAGGGAGTCTGAGTGAGTGATCCAGGAGGAGCTGTCCAGGGTCCTGAATTACTTTCTGGGAGGGAATGGCAGTGCTGAAACCTCTCTCCAAAAGAGATGCAGCATGTGGGAGAAGTCTCCTACACTTTAGTCTCCCGCCCATCCCAGGCAGATCTGCCTGCCCGCTGACCCCTCCCCCAATGAAATCCTGGTCCCTCATCAGGGAAAGTCCAGGGGATGAGAGAAAGGACAGGCCCCTTGCAGTGGGCCTGCCCTTTGGACCACTGCCCCTCCCTCCCCTCACCTGGATGTACAGGTACTCAAAGGCTGCTGGGTCCCTTCGCAGCAGCTCCAGAGGCTCTTTGGGGAAGAAGCTCACCCGGAAGAGACACCGCATCCCTTGGTAGTGGGTCCGTTGCACCACCTGGAGAGAAGCGGGAGGAGCTCAGGCAAGGTGTTGGGAACAGGGGGGCCCGGGGGGGGAATCAATCTTCCCCTAACCCAGCCTCAAGCCTGTTAAAATTGTGCTGCTCCCTCTTCGCAAGGACATGTGAGGAATGCTTGCTTCTCGGAAGCAAACGTGGAATTTTTAGCAGGAAACTAAATGTCCGGTACTCTTGGCAGGGGGTGAAAACAGGGCTCAAGCAACTCCAAACCAGCTCTGTCTTGGGATCTGAGGCAAGTCTTGAGTCCTGCTGGTAAGGCAGCCATGAGAGAGACTGAGAATAAGGGGAAGGTCCCTGTTGCAGGTGCTTACGTGAGCAAGTGGTTGCTTGTCCTGCAGGAGAAGGAACTTGTGGCTCTGTTCAGGGCTGGAGTACTCTAAGACCAGGGAAAAATGCTCTATGTGTCTTAGGGACAGGCGGTCCTGTAGCGTCATCATCACATCCTGGAGTGGGGGCAGGGGCAGGGAGAGAAGAAAAGTTGAGCTCTAGACAGAGGCGGGTCAGTGGCCAGTGCTGCCCCTTTCCTCAGACCGTGCAGCCTCGCCTCGGCCTCTGCAATGGAGGCACAGCTAGGGCTTTGGCAGAGGGGCTTGGGGAGATCAGCTCTCAGGTTGGGATGCTCAAAAACCACCCCAAACAGGGAGGAATGGGGTGCCGAGTTCCAACATGGGGTAGGAGTTAGCGGTGGGCCCCAAAGCCCCTTGCCTTCATGCCAGTTCTGTCTCACAGTCTTGTTGCCCCCAGTAGGAGAAAAGGGGCACAGAAGCAAGTTCAAAACCAACACACACACACACACATGCACGATTTTATATTGTCCGTTCTGCAGACAAGCTGTTGGCCAGAAGGAAAACTTGGAAACTTTCAAAGCTGGGGTGAAGCAGATGCCCAGGAAAGAGGACAGGAAGGAACCCTGGAGGCTGGTCGTGTCTTGACAGCACCGGCCAGAACTTCTCGGACCCCTCGGGCAGGTGTGGGTGTGGGTGTGTTTGCTGTGCAGGGCCAAGCACCGGGATGTGAAGAAGGCCGGGTGACACCCCCCCCACTTCCTCCCCCAGCTGCTGCCCCCTCCCTACCTTGACAGTGGTTCGGCCATCAAATGTGAATGACTTGATCTGCCCATTCTCCAGGAAGACTTTCAGGACGTTAGGGATGAGGAGCAGGGCCTCCTTCTTCAGCATGTCCTGGATGGCCCCCACCAGCCCCAGGGGAGCAGAAGACATCAGCAGGTCCAGTGGAGGCGGGTGAGCCACACAGAGCGGGCAGGCAGGAGGAGAAAGAGGGCTTATTAGCCAGTTTATGCCAGATCTGCCCCTGGAAGGAAGGAGGGGGACGCAGGATGCCACCCCTCCACACCCCAAGTAAGGCTCAGGGCCTGGAAGGATGGCCAAGGAGCCCTCAGCGGGCTCTGTCAAGAGGGCCTGTGATGCATCCCACGTCCCTGCAGGATCCTTCCTACAGTGCCTTTGTTTTGTTCAACAGGGCACGGGGGGGTTGGGGGTGGCAGCCACGTGCTGGCACCCCATTGCCTCTCTCTCTGGCTCACTCCCTTTGCTCATGTGGTGCTATTGTGCAAACACAAGACAATGCAAGCACTTTCCATGCTGAGCCAGTGAGCCTTGAAGCCATCTGGGAATGGGGAGAGAAGGATGGATGGCCAGTCATTAAAGCCAACTCACTGACCAAAAAAAAAAAAAACACAGAAACAAACAAACCCCCAAAAGCCCCACAGGCTTTGATCCGTGGCAGCACCACCCAACCTGACATGTACCTCCCCATTTGGAGACCTGGTGAAGCAGCACAACCCCCTGAAGCCTCCGGCTGGGGCTCTGAGACCTGACATCTCTGAGCTTCAGCTGCCCCACAGTAGACCCTCTTCCCCAGCAGCCTTCAGCTCATCTCCTGACCCTGTGCCTGCGAGAAAGGTTTGGCAAACTGGGCCCTTTGTTCGGCACACAGCCTTTCAATCAGATAATACAACTTTAACGGGTTTCGTTTAAAAATAGACTGTGCCCGAAGCGCCTCTGATTCAGATTGGCCACGCTGCTTAACAATATTTTTGTGCAATTAGGAGATAAAGCTGCGTGCCAGAGCCGAGGCTCCATTCCGCGTGGAAGCTGTCTGAGATGCCAGGGAAAGTGGGCAAAGCTGCCATGGCAGGGCTGCTCTCCCCTCAGCTGGTGCCTTCTGGGGCTCACATGCCCTGCAAGGTGCTGAGGGACTGGAGACTATGAAGCCCTGGAAAAGAGTGGGAAAGAGCCCCAGCCTGGCTGCTCCTGCTTTTGTGATGGCACTCGCCAGCCACTGCCGTGCCCTCTCAGCTGCTCTCTTTTCTGCGCCCAGACAGACTGACTGATGGGCAATGGCCTGGGCACCCCACTGCCCCGATTGCTTTTAACTGCACGCAGGACTATGAGCTGCCTTTTCAACGGGCATGGCCTTATAACCTTGATCGGAGACCCCTAACAATGAGGTTCTCTTTCTGGGTCTGTCAGGAGGGCACTGGAATGGCCCATGGGCTAGAAGAGGAGGAGGGTCTTGGCTTCGGCTGCCCCACCACAACCTTCCTGCCCCCCTTCTGTTCACCCTCCCTGCCATTTGCCCAGATAGAGATGGGCCCGGGGGGGGGCACTCGCTGGAGCTCCTGCCAGGAGCAGCTTTGACCCTTCGGGGAAAGCAAGGAAGCCCTCAGGTGGGGGGGGGGAACTCACTGGATCGGTCTCGCCAATGGTGACCTGTTCTGAAAAGCGCACCTTCACAGGATTGGACCTCAGCTTTGCCTTTTTGGCCGCACTGATGAAGGCTGACTTCGGGGACTGGAAAGAGAACACAGTCAGGTCACCCTCCTGTGCTAACAAGAGCCAGCCCGCACCCCCACCCCCCAGGAACCCTAAGGAGGGCTGCGGTGGCCAGGGGGAAGGGGAGGGGAGGCAAACACCCAAACAGTTCCCTCCACTTGGTCCTGAAGAGCAAGACAGTCCCCTGCCCCCCCCCCAGGAGAGAACTCTGGGTCTCACCTCCGGCCTCTGGGCAAGACAATGGTGGCCCACAGCATGGAGCTGCATTCCAGGTGCCCTGAGGATGGGGAAAGTCATTCCCAAGCCCCTCCTTGGGCCAATCCTCCAAAGCCCCCTCCCCCCCTCCCTGCCCTGCTCTCGGATTTGGCTGATTCCTAGGGAAAGGGCTCACCCTCTCCTCTCTGCTGGGTTTCTCCCATCCATGTAGAGTTCAAGAGAAATAGGCCCAGAGAACAGGGTGGGGGGGAAGGGGTGTGTGTGTGGGGGGGGGGCTACAAGGTTCTCAGTTTGTGGGAAATCCCTGAATTCAGGGGCCCAGCCTGCCTGGCGCCATGTCTGGAGAACTGGGCTCCGAGGTGGCAGCCTTTGCTCAGCCATGAAGATAAAAAGGATCCCATTCAGCCGACCCTCAACTCCTTCTAGGAAGGGTGGGGGGAGATTTTAGATTAGGCCACCTTCAGTCTCGAGAGACGATGGTAAAGGATGGGAAGAAGCGAATGAGCAGGCAGGACCTTTGGCCAGGAGCTGGGCTCACTTCCACTTGTTGGGAGACAGACCGGCAGGCTTCTCTGCCAGCTGCCCCTGTAGAGCAGAAGGCCAGCAGAAGGCCGCCGACCCTGTCCCCAAGGGCCCTGAGCCTCCCATGCACACGGGGCAGCCCCCCACCCCCACCGTCGTATCCCTGCAGAGGCCACGAAGGATCCTTCTGTTATTGCTCTCTACCAAGGAGAGGTGAGGAGAGCCCGGTGGAGCGTGGTCACTTGCTCTGTTTTGCTTGCTTCTCTTCCCCGGGGTGGGGTGGGGGGTCGAGGAGATTCGCCTGCTGATCCCTTCCACCAAGATGAAAAAGTTCAGAAAAGCAGAAACAACAGCCCGCCTTCCTTGCCGGTGGCCTGACGGTTCCATCTGTTCCGCTGCTCTGGAGCACCAAGGCACCCTTCTTCCTCTGCTCCAGCATCTACCGCCGCTTGCCTGGCACCGGATGGAAAGGCAGCTGGCAGTGCCAGGCCTGCTTTTCAGAAGGAAATGGCCTTCCTTGTGGGCTCCTCTGGCACAGCCTGGCAAAGTGGCCAACATGCAGAAGGAGGACGGCTGCTGCGCGCTTTCTTCATGCCATCCACCCTGGGCACCTGGTGAGCTGTGGCAAAGGGCCCAGATCTGCTCCCATGGACGGTCAGGATAAGCCCCTTTCCTCACCCTGTGAGGAACTGAGCTCTCCCTCTCCCCTGCTGGGACATACCTCAGATCTCAAACAAGGTGCCCAGGCAGGGCCAGGCAGCTGCTTTAGATGCAGAAGCCTGGCTCTCTCCTTGTGCCACCCACGACTCACTGGAGAACACCAGATTGCCCAAAGAAGTGGCACAAGGAAAAGAGGGAGATCAAACCTATGATGAATTTGCACAAGCAAGCAAGGAAGGAAGCCACAGGCTTCCGTTTACAAGACCTGGGCAGGGCTGTTCAGAATGGCTCCTTTTGGAGGTCCTTAACTCAGAGCATGGCTGTTCAGCACCAGCGTGGGAGAAGGACAGCACCAGATTCCAGGCAGAGCTGCTCCTTCACTCTGCAGGGAATGCTTTTGGGTGCCCCCTATTGGCTTCCGCTAGAGGAGCCCCTCCAGATTGCTTCTGACATGGAGACACACACCCCATGGGGGGGGCGGCTTAGCCTCATACTAATTCAAATTCTGAGAGGACAGAAGCTGAGGCCCTCCCGGATGCTGACAGGCCTGCCTGGTTCCTAGTGAGAGCCATGCGAGGGAACCCCGAGTGGGGTCTTCTCCACCCCACCAGCATTGTGGGTGTGCTTTTGTTAGCATCTTGATGAGGACCTGGCTCCCTGGTCATGATGTATTTATGTCTCATTTTCTTGTAAAGCAACGTGGCATTTCTGAACCTTTTACTGCTTGTTTTTTTTAAATAAAATGCACTGGACTGGAAACTGGAATTGATTGAGTTCTTTAGCCTGGAGGTTGGCAAATGCGCTGGCCTGACTTTAAAGGAGTTAAAGGTACTCTGGAAAAGCGAGGAGAGAGAGAGGAGAGCATCGGCTGGGGATCATCTTTGCCACCCCTGGCATCTTAATTTCTTCTTCTAGGTCTCAGAAATAAAGACGAGGAGAACAAGACAGGGAGCTCCCGCCTGGCTTCCAGGTATTTTGGGATGGGATGGGTGGGGCTCAGAAGGAAGTGAATTTGGAACCAGAGCAGTGAATGCCACACTGCTCAATGGGATGATCAGTCAAGCCAAAATGACGCCCCTTCCCCTTCTCCCACGCTGCAATTAATTGGTGAAGTAGAAGCTGCCCCACCCTCGTGGGTGGCATGTGGCCCTTGTTCGCAACTCCAAGGGAACACAACCTTGGCCAAAACAAAACCACCCGGTAGGTATATATATGTGTGTCCCATTTCTGCTGTTAAAAATCAGGGGTTTATTATTATTATTATTATTATTATTTGTTCTTGTTCTTTCGAAGCTGGCTTTTTCCAAGCCTGGAGTGATGACAACCGTGAGAGAAGCAACGGAAAGAGCAAGAGAGGAGGCGGCAAGAGAAGGCAGGGCGGAAGAGGCCGGGAGCTGCAGCCCCCACAGGACAGAACCTCGAGGGTTTGGCAGCTGGCTGGGGAGGCGCTCCAGGAAGGCCGCGATGTCTTGGGCCACTCACCTGGTGGGTCTGCAGGACGGTGAGGAGAACAGACTCCTTGGCACCTCTGTGGAAGGAGAGTAAAAGGGCAATCAAGGCGTGGCCACTGCCCACAGGAGGGCAAAGGGAGTCCTGCAACATGAGAAGCAGATTTGCCCCCCCCTTTGCCGCCCCGCTGCATGACTTCTCCAAGGTTCCTCTCCAAGGCCACAGATCAAGAACTGCTGTTGTCATTCCCAGGTCCCCAGCCAGCCCAGTGGGTTCTGGCCTCCCCCTCACGGGCACCTCCCTCACCACCAAGGCCAGAAGGTGCCACAGGACATCCCTGGGAACCCAGCATGGCATGGCCCTAAGGATGCAAGATCCACATCTCTGGACAAGATCTGGTGGCTTGAGAGCTGACCCTCTGGAGTGGGCCGGGCCTGAGGGAGGGGGCTTGGTAACCCCTACCCCACCCCCACTCCCACCCATCCCCACTTGCTTACCTCACAAGTTCTATGAATCTCTCTCTGGGGACGTCGCTCACATCTTCATGGTTTATGGCCAAGATCTGGTCCCCCGGCAGGAGCTTGTCTTCTGAGGGCCCACCTGCCCAAGAAAGCGCCACCCCCTGTGAGTCTGAGAGGGAGGCTGGGGTGGGTGCAGCTTGGGCAGTGGATTTCCCCCTCCTGGGAGAAATCCAGAGGTGAGTTTGCACGGTTCCACCTGACGGTCCCTCATCTCATTTCTAATCCCTCCCTGCTCCCCAACTTAGTTGCTGGTTCTGCTCTCTCTGGTTCCCCCCTGCCACACACCCCCAAGTCCTAATTCCAGCATCATCTCCAGCTTCTGGGTCCCTGGAAGAACAGGGGAATCCCAATACTGTACCTGCCTCCCAAACACGGCCTGATTTCCCCCCACCCCTTTTCTCTGCTCCCACCCCATTGGCCCACCTGGAGTCACAGAGCGAACCACCACCGGCCTCTCGCTGCCAGCCACAAAGCCAAATCCGTAGAGGGCATCACGCTGGATCTTCACCTGTCGGAGGGTGTCTGAAGACAGCTGCCCACATTCCATATCATTCCAGCGCTCCTCCAGCATCACATGTCTGGGTGAGGGGACATCAGGGGAGAGAGAAGGCAGAGGGAGCTCAGCATCATCCCTGGGAGCCAGACGGCCACCTTGCAGCCGTGGCCTCCCTCCCAGGAGTGGATTGCAGCTTTCTTGCAGCTGAAGAGCAGATCTGGCACGAACACCCCCTCCCTCAGATCTGCCTCCCTCTTTCCTTTTCCTGTGCAGCATCCCAGAAACGATCAGGCCAAAGATTCACCCCTGGCACCAGAGGCCTTGGGCACATCCAACCACGGCATTGTCACGGCTCTCCCTCCTCCCCCAGATGGGTGTAAGAAAAGCAAGGCTGGCCCGTGCCAGTCGGAGACAGGAATGGCTGGCCTTGGCCATGCTCCCCAATGCTAGGACCTCCTTCGCTCATGAGTGCATCTGAAACAGCTGCAGGAGCAGGAGAGATCTCTTGCCTTCCAGCAAGGGACCTAAAAGGGCCACCCTGCACTTCAGAGCTTGCCCTTCCCAAAAGCAGGGAGGGAAGGGGGTGAGGAAGAAGCAGGGACTCCACCCAGTTCCAGGGAGCTTTACTTCTTGATTTCCCCCCCCCAAAAAAAAACACTGGCCAGAGCCACTGCAGAAAAACAGTGACTCAGAGGAGGTCTTCAGTGGGGAGGAGGTCTTCAGCCTCTAAGGAGCACCACCAGAACCCTGGAGGATCCAAGAAGCGGAAATAATTTTTTTTCAGAAGGGAGCATGAAAGGGGAAGAGAGACGGCAAAGGGGAAGGAGAGCAGGGACGCTGCTGGGGTTAGGGACTCCTTGGTGTTTTTCCTGCAACAGATCTGCGCGGCCACCTCCTTGGGGGGGAAAAATAATCTGGGCAAAAGGGTTCCCACCACCAGCACCACTAGCAGACCATCCCCATGGGCTGTGCAGGACCCTAGGGCTGAACAGACCCCCTCACACAAGCCCCACTGGGGGCAAGGCTGGTCCTCCCTCCTCCCTTCCCGGGGGGGGATGAAACGCCCACCCGGCATGAATTATGCTAATAGGACAGCGTGCTTCAGTGTTCCTGGCTGGCATAATTAGTGTATCTTATTAGCACTCTATGCAAATCTGGTGTTTCTGTAGCAAGGGAAGAGGAACAGAAAGGCATTGCAGCGGCATTGGAAGAGCCTGTGGCGCTTCCTGGTCCAGAGCAACACGGGGGGGGGGGAGGAGGGGGTCAAACACCCCAGGCTGCTTGGTGATGGGCCCAGCTCAGCTGCCCCCCCCCCCGGAAGCACAAGGACTGGTACAGGAGTTGGCAGCAGAATGAGTGCGTACTGCTTTTCCATTCCGAAATCTGGCAAGAAAGAATGAGCAGCCTTTCTTCCGTGTTTTGCTTTGGCACCACCACCAAGACTTGTACAGCTGTGAGCAGAGAACAGCGGCTCACCTGTTTTTCCCAGAGTGAGGAGGGCCGGCTCCTTTCTGCAGCTCCACCTAAGGCATCTCCTTTAGTTCCTGACCAAGGAGGAGAGAGACCGGCTGGCCCTCCTGCTGATGCCAGCCACCACTGCTCCACCCACCTCTGGGGCAGAGAGCCTTGGCTCGCCCCACCGAGGGCAACAGAGGAGCTGTCCCGCCTCATTTGTGCCTGCCTGGCGGGACCCTTCCTGGGAGGACATGGTTTTCGGGTCTCATCTGAGATGGCCGTGGCTCTTCTCACCGCTGATGGCTCTGTGGCAGCGGCTGAACCTCCAGAGGCCGGATCCTGAGCCAGCGTCTCAGCTCCCTTTTGAAGTGCCATCTGAGGTGAAGGGTGACTGCCAAGCCTTGACTCCCCAGTGGCGCCCAGCAATGAAGTAGGAAGAAATCCCCAGGGTGTGGAAGAGGCAGAGCCGTGTGGGAGCCTTCCTTCAACGACACCCCCACCCCCACCACCTTTTCAAAGATGCCAGTGCCCTTCCCAACAGGCTCTGACACATCGCCCTGGCCCTGGCTGCAAGACGGCAGGGCCCTCCTATAAACCGTCTGGGGAGACCCTCCTCTTCACGTCCCACCATTGAGAAAAGTTCATTAGGTGGAGATACAACGGAGGGCTGCTTCTGCCATGGGACCCCAGCTATAGAATGGCCTCCCCTTGGCGGCTTGATTGGCACCAACAATGGCATCATTTCTGTACCAAGTCGAGATGTCTTTATTTATTAGAGCCCTTCATGGCTGGCACAGGTTTTGGCACAATGGCTCTGCCAGCCTTGCCAAGGTGCCACTCTTGTATGGCAGGCAGCTGTGGCTCCCTAAGTGGCAAGGCATCGATAAGTGCCCTCAGATGCCCTCTGGGCAGGGATTCCCTTCTCCAGATCATCACCTGCCTCCTAGCCTGGAAACCCTTCTGCTCTCAGGCCAGCACCAGCCACATCACGGTGGGCGTTATGAAGCGGGGCAGCTGTTCTGCAGCGGCTGGATTCAGCCCCACTTGGTTGCTCACAAATATGGGGAACATCCAGGCCAACCCTCACACTCAACATCTCACCATGTCCACTGCACTCCCTGGCCCTGACAGAGCCAGCGGCACCAAGGGAGGGGGTCATCTGGACTTTGGAGTCATCCCTCAGCAGAGAACAGGTGGGCTTCAGGACTCCTTGGTTGAGGTCCTGCTGGGTGTGGAGATGCAGGGCCCTCCCGCCCTGCCCCCATCAAATGCCTCTCTCGCCCAGGGGAAAAAAAAGAGGCCTGACTGGCTTGCATGCATTTGCATTTCTACCTTTCTTGGGGGCCCAATTCCTGGGCCCCGTACAGTAGCTACCGGCCTTGCTTCTTGGGCCCAGCCATGACCGTGGCTGGCTTAAAACTCTTCTTGGCTCTGCTTGGGGGTGCAGGAACCTTCAAGTAAAACAATGCAATGATCCAGCTTTGCCTCAAAGGGGACACCCCCTTTCAGATTGCCAGTGAGGCAAGACAGGGATGGAGCACAGGAAGAAGAAGAAGAAGAAAAACCTCCAACATGGGGCAGGTCTGAACAAAATCATCCCACAGAAGCTTTTCCTGCAGGCAGACATTCTTGCTCCCACAAACTCTCTCGGAGGGTCTGGCAGACCCTGCAGGCTCTTGGCTTCCCTGAAATCCCCCTCCGGAGGGTCCCTGCCTGAGCCCATCATGCCCTCCAGAAGCAATTGTGAAGCATGGGTGGGGGCTGTGGGGGGGCATCCAATATGCCCCCTGGATCCACCCCGGACCCTCTAGACCTTTGGTGACAGAAAATGTTTAGGCCTCAAAATGGACCAGTGGCACCCTCAGGAGCCTCTTCAATGCCTCCGGGCCTCTTAGAGGCTCCAAACAGCCTCTCTCTCCCCCCCCCCAACACTCACACACACAGTCACTTAAAGCTGCCATTTCCATGGACTTTTTTTGGGGGGGGGGAAGAGGCTATTTATTTTATTTTATTTTATTTGAGGGAGCTCTCTGCAACTCCTGACCCCTGATTTTGGGACTTCTAACCAAGGGTAAGAAAGTGGTGCTGTCAAAATACACCATGAGAACAGGCCACCCTTGGATCAAGGCCCCGAGAGGGGAGGCATTGCTCCCTGCCAGCCCTTCCCCTCAGCCCTCTGTCTTGAGCCGAGAAGGATCTTTCAAAACACCACAGAATGATGCACGATGGACAGTGACCAGCCGGATGGTGCCGCATGGACAAGGCAGGAAAAGCAGAGCACACACCCGCCCTTCCACCCGACAAGGCTGTCTGAAACACCCCAGCCTTCTCTGCTCCATCTGGATATTCATTGGTCTGGCTGAGAAATTATGCCGCTGGGAAAACCACACTGGGACAGCCTTGTCCAGCTTTATTCCCACCAGACAGAATTCAAGCACAGTCCACAAAGAGCACAAGAGAGTGAGGAAATGCCAGAGATGTGGCAGCTCTCTGAACCGGATCTTCTTCCCTGCCAGCAGCAGGAAGGTTGGCCAATTTGGTCTCGGGGAGGAAGAAAACACTGGCACACCCCAAGTGCCAGGCCGCAGAAATAACAGCCAACAGGATGGTTTCCCCCCCTTCCTCCCTGGAAACATCTCTGTGAGATATGGACATTTAAATACATCCCATCTCTTCCCTGTGTTTTCGTTCTCCCTGTTAAATGCTTTCACTGCAGGGCTGAGCAGCTGACAAATCAATTTCCTAAATCCCCGATTCTCTCTCTCTCTTTAATAAATCCAGTTGCAAATTGCTCAGGATGAGCGATCCTTCAGAGGGCTCACCTCTCTGTCTGCGATGCACATCCAGCAAAACTCCTGTGCATCCAGGAGTGTGGCATCCAGGAGCAGGGAGGAATGCCAGGCCACGGCCATCAGCATCACCCTCTCCAAAGGGAAATGCTGCCTGAGACCGGGGCACACCCCAAAGAACAACATGGGGGCACGAAGGAAGAGCTTTGCCCCTCTTCCCCCCCCCCAGAAGCAAGATACTCACTGCCTGTGCCCAACAGCGGGTGGGAGAGATGACCTCCGGCCCCGGCCCCTCCTTTCCTTCTCCCCAGCATGGGCGATGGCAGCGTCTGTGCAGAGAGAATGAGAGGGAGCGATTCTGAGCACTCAAGCCTTCGAAATTCAGCACCGGCTGTGATCGGAATCTTAAAGAAGCTGCCTGGCTCAGCCCCAGACCCATGACAGGGAGCGAGCGGGGGAACACATGCTCTCGCTTGCATCAGGCAGCTGCCTGCCTGCCTGCCTGCCTGCCTGCCTGCTTGCTTGCTTGCCCGCCTGCCCGCCTCTCACAGCAGCCCCAGCAACACCAGAGTGGCTGTCGCCAACCAGGGACTGCTGAGAGGAAGGGATCCCCCACCCTGCCACGTTCTTCATTCCTTGGTCTCCTTTCTGGAAGAGGGGAATGATCCCCCCAGCTCCGCTACGGCTCATAGGCAGGCAGATCCTGTTCCCAGGTAGGATACACTCTCCAGGGGGTCTCCGGGAAGAGCTGAGTGTTTCCCTTTCCCAGAAGGGAGAACCCACAGTCACAGATGCTGGTGCTCATTGCAGAGGACTGTAAACGTCACCAGTGCCTAAATCACCATTGTTTGCTCAGTCCTGATCCCCATTTTCCAGATGAAAGAGCCAGGAGGCAATGGGGGCCCCAAAAGCTTAGGGGATGCATGTCCAGCAGAGGGGTGGCCTGGGACCAGCTCTGTCCCCATGCAGGGTCTCTGCCCTTTTGCCCATATCCTGCACAAAACCCTCCAGAGGAAAGCCACCAGGCTGCCATCCCTCCTGGCTTGCTCCTCTCCTGTGCCAACAGTTCACGGGGTCTGTGGGAAATCTGAAATATGTGATGCAGGTGTGTGTGTGTGTGTGTGTGTGTGTGTGTGTGTGTGTGTGTGTGTGTGTGTGTGTGTGTGTGTGTGTGTGTGTGTGTGCGTGCGTGCGTGCGTGCGCGCAGGCAGATTGGTAAGGAAAAGGGACCACATGGTGCCTGAGTTTGGGTTACTAAGACAGTGTGACAGTGGGAGGGTGAGGTGGACTTTGCCTGCCTGAAGGGGCGGGAACAAGGGCAGTATGGGGAACCTGGCTTCTGCCACTCAGGAGGTGGGGGGGCTCCCCAAAGGTCCAAGCAGAGAGCCTTTGGCAGGAATCACTGCCACTCAGTGGCATCTTAAAGGTGAGCAATGTTCCTTTGGAAGGGGCTTCTGTGGACTGTGCCCTACTGCATCGGGCACTCTTCTGTGCAAAGACCATCCCTCCCTCCCTCCCTCCCTCCCCTCCTCCAGCCCCGGGTGCAAGTGCCTCCACTGGCAAACTCGACTGCAAGACATTCCCCTCAATGCCAGATAGCAAGGTGTGTGCCTTCTGTGGGCTGAGTGTGGAAACCATTCCTGGCCGGAAGAGGTCAGTGAGTGGCTCCCCCCTCCTAGAAACAAGGGTCGTTCTCGGAAACAACCACAACAGCAGCGGAAAGAGGGGAACAGGAGCTCAGGGAGCACCCAGAGCCATCTCCTCTCATGCCTGGGGAGCATCTCAGTGGGAAACCCCGGCAGCCCCAGCTTCCTTCTGAAGGCCTCCTCCAGATAACCCTCCTCTCGCTGCACACCAGCAACCTTGCACTTGGCAAACAGCCTCTACCTCAGAGCAAGCAGGGTGTTGCACAGAGCACACAGCTGTCCAGGATGAGGGTCGTGATCCCGAGTGCATACGCTTGTAGGGATGTATTGTTTGCTGGTACCTTTGTATATGGGCATTGCTCTCCCAGCTGAGCACCTGGTGACTAAGCTCACTAACGCTTATACCGCCACAACCCATAATAATGCATTTATATGTCACATGCCTCTGGCACACTGTGAGGTGAACACAACCTGGATTAATGGGACTTGCTCCAGGTCATGTGCCCAGGAACAGTCAGGGGGGTCAGCAGTGGAACCAGGAGAAGAAGGAATGAAGGGGTCCCCTTTTAATATAACATTTCCCAGGAGGGCTCCCGTATGCAAGAGTCAGTCAGTTCAGCTAGATTGGCTGGTCTCAATCCACTTGCAAGCAGAGTCTTTGGGAAATAGGGCAGGGCTGGTGACAGAAGGAGAAACTGCCCTGCCCAGCTGTGACCCCTTTTGCAAGAGGAGCCTGGGAACTGGCCATGGTGCTGAACTTGTCCTCTTCCCAAATAGCCACTGGATTAACACGTGTGGGGGTTTGCCTAGCAACTCGGATTAATGACAGTTTACAAAAAATAGCTGCAACATTTTTTTTCATCATTTATTTCACACTGATTCATCTGAACTGACAGCAGCAGAGGGTCCAGAAATGTTCACTCTGGATAGGTCTGGATTTGTTGAATCAGAGGAGGAGGAAACTGATAGCTTAGCAGGGCAGCGCCTGCTTTAACTGTGGATTTCCCCCAAGTTCATTACCTGCCATCTGTAGATAAAATCCAGAAGAGTCAGGAGAAATCTTTCCCAGGCTGGGCCCTTGGAGAGCCACTTGCAATCCCAGGGAGTTAAGCAGGGCGATGCGGATCGGACCGCTTGGCCATATGGGGGAGGGGGCTATTAGCATCACCCGAACAAAACAAAACAAAACTGGGGAGAGTGCATGGGACAGAAAGGATGGACGGCCAACAAAGAGCCAAAGTGCGAGGTCACCGCAGTATAATTCTGGAAATTGAAAAGGGATTTGCTGTCCAAGGGCTTATTTCTGGTCACGGGTAAAGTTTATGGGTTGGCACCCTCAAAACTGATTCTCCTAATGCTTCACCCTCCCTTCACTCAACTTGAGACCTCAGTGGCTCACTTTTTTCATTTAACTCAAGCCATATTTCCATCACCCCAGCAAAAACAAGACACTCTCTGCCTTCCCTTGATGACTTTTCAGTAATGCACCACAGCACGACAAGCTCCAGCCACAATCCCACACAGACATGGCCACGTACCATCCCACTGAAATCAATTACATTACTTATTATGCCTTAATCTATGCTGGATCATGCCTACTGTATACAGACAGGGTTTACAAACTCCATCCGTAGCCACTGGACTTCACATGCATCGGCAAACGGCTGTGCATAGTCCTGACACAGCTGACAACAAACTGAAACCCTGCAAATGAGGAGATTCTTCCTCATTTAAACTTTTGAGATATGACCATATCTTAGAATTAAGCAAATACAAAAGTGTACTTGAGACGACAATGCACTTTTAGTGTAGCTGGCTCAAGGCATCATGAGAGAAAGCCATTCCATGTTGTGGGAAGACATGCCACCATAAGCCCAGAAAAGAAACCTCAAAAAACAATTGACACAGGCATCCTATTCTTTGAATACACAGGACTATATGTCATTAATGAACAAGCCAGATACAGAAGGAAATGGCATTTCCTTGGAGTGAAGATCATTCAAAGGAAGATTTTGTGAGAAAGGAAATATGAAAGGAATACCAACATTAATCACTTATTTACAGTGCTTTGTGTAACCTTCTATAAATGCCCTCCAGCCATTCCGCCAGCTTTCCAACCCATTTGATCGCACCTCCTTGAAGCCCCCTTGCTAACAATTCCACTGAAACAGGCCCATATCCTCAAACTCTGTGCTCCCCTGCATTTTAATCATTTGCCTCTTTAGTTTCCCTAAATGCTAACCAGGACATCTGTGTCCATCCATCCAGCATTCTCTCACAATGCTGAGCACCCCACCCTTGGTACACACTTCAGCGGCCCACCAGGATTTTCAGGGCAGCCTTGACTCAATAGGTTCAACTTGGGCAATGACATAAAATCTGCACCCACCTTTTCTGCTTCCACACTTGATCCTTTGGCTGCAGACCATGTTCCCTGAGCAAAATTCCCCCTTTCCATAAACGGTGCAGCATCCAAGAGCGCATTGCAATTAACGATGCTGCTTAGGCTTCCAGACTTCTTGAGACTGCATCTGCTTTTCTGCACTAACTAAACCAAACACGTTGCCCCAGATCTTCCATGGATGGTATAAATAGTCCAGACTCCTGCTTGTAGACGCATTGGAAGGAGTTTGTTCTATTCATCTGGCTGCCTTTTGGAGATCCAGGATAAGTTTGGGGTTCAAAGGAACCCTAAGTGGGGAAAAGGAGGCGGAAAGGAGGGACAAGGTCTGATCAAAGGCAACAAGGACAGGGAAGCAGGACTGGCAGCCGGTGAAGTACAAAAGGTTCCTGCTTTGCGGGGCAGCGGGTGGGGGGAGCGAGAAGCAAGAAGCTTCACTCAGCACGCTGGGGGGGGAGGTCCTTTCACCTCCCTCCTTCCACATCCAGGCAGGAAGCAAAGAAAGAAGGCAGCTCTCTTGGATTTCACCTAGACTACAGTTTGAAGTCTCAAAACAAACTGAGCATCTCCTTCCAAGGAGAAAGATGTCTTTCTTAGCATACCACAAATTGTTCAGGAGGTTGCCCCATATGGGAAAGGAAGAGGTTCAATGGGTGAAGCAGATGGGGCTTCCTTGTTCTTTGAAACTTTTGTGTGTGTGTGTGTGTGTGTGTGTGAGAGAGAGAGAGAGAGAGAGAGAGAGAGAGCGATTTGTACCACTGGAAGGTGAAAGATGAGCAATCTCAAAGTCTCAGTGGTACAAAGAAGAGCCAAATGCAAAACAAGAAGGAGCAGGAACATAAACACAGCCCCACTGACCAGGTGGATACAAGGTCCATCAGGGCTGTTGCCCAGGCATGAAGGGCAGCAGCAGCTGCCGCTGCAGAACTGTCAGGTCAGCTGCTGGGCAAAGCCAAGGTCAGCGGAAAGGTGGCCCAATGGCTTCCCTGTGGAAACAGCCCCAGCCTGCAAAAGAGGGGGTTTGTGGCCCGTCTCTCTGTGCTGCCCAGTCAGAGAGGGAAAGGGTGGCAACTCAGGAAGGGACAGAGGAAGATTGGTTGACTCCCTCAAGGACTTCTGGGTGGGAGGGAGGCTACCCCTCGTAGCCCACAAACAAGCTTCTGCCTGCCTTTCCGTGGAGAGGAACACAAGGCTGGCAGAAAGACGAGGGAGTTGCTCGCCGAGTAGCCAGGGCATCGCCAGCACCGCAGGCTTTGGTTACCTGGCTTTCTGCCTCAGAGTA